AAATTTTTTGCTCCCCAAACATTTTTCCCTTTTTTGGTCCCCCCCGAAAAAGGGGAAACAAAGCCCCAAAAGGGTTAAAAAAAAGTGGGTTACCAAAAACCTAAACGGAAGTTTTTTACTGACTATCCTCATGCAAAAAAGCACCCCCCGAGTAAAAAAAACGTGATTTTTGTTTTGAAAAAATCGAAAAACCCCCCTAAAAAAATTTTTAAAATGAAAAACTGGCTTTGAATGTTGGGGGGTATTGGTTGGGGAGGGGGGTTTTTTTGGGACGCCCACCCATCAAAAACGGGAAAAATTTGATTTTAAAAAAAAGGGCCCTTTTAACAAAATTTTAAACCCAATTTTCCCGTTTTTGGGGTTATTTGGCCCCGTTTTTTTTTTAAGGGAAAAAAAAATTTTTTTGAAACCCGGGGCAAGAACCCTTTCAAAACTTGGGGTGCATGTTGGAGGGTTCCCCCTTTCCCGGTTTTTTTTTCTAAAGGGGCCCCCCCCCCCCCCCCGGCCCCCCCCATGAAGAGGGAAAAAATTTTTAAGAAAAAAGAGGTTTAAAGAAAAAAAGCCCCTAAACCCAAATAAAATTTTTAAAGGGGGTGGGGACTAATTTTAACCCCCCACCTCCCCACCCTCCCTGGGGCCCCCCCCCAAATTTTAAAATTTGAAATTTAAAAACCAAATTTATGTGAGGGGTAAAAAAAATTTTTAAAGATTTTCAACCTTCTTTTTGGAAATTTGGAAAAAATTTTTTAACCCGGTTTTTTTTTTTTTTTGGCCCCCTTTTTTAAAAATAAATTTCAAAATCAAAAAGTTTTTTTGGAACAAACCCCCGGCCGTTTTTAATGTTTCATTGTTTCCCAGGGTTTGTTTCCAACCCCCCCCAAAAAAAAAATTTTTTTTTTGGGGAAAAAAGATACAAATAAAAAAATAAAGGCGCAGTGTTATAATCCAAAAATTTTAAATTTACCCTTTAAAATATGAAATCAAAAATTAAAAAAATGGGAATTAAAATTGAGGGAAATGTTAAACTTTTTCTGTTTTTTTTTAAGAATTTTATATTAAACATAAAAAATATATATTAAAAAAATGAAAGGTTCCCTAAGTTCGTAATTTAAAATGTGGGGGATACTTTCTGGGCACAAATTTTTTCCAAATTGGGTTTTTTTACACCCCCCTTTAAAAATTTTGGATTCCGCCCTAAAAAATCTTTGAAATGTTTTAAAAAAAAAGGGTTATTTTAAAATCGTAATTTTTTTACTTATATAATTTTCCCCCAATTTGTTTTAAAAACTAAAAAAGTATAAAAAATTTAAAATTATTAGGGGGAAAAATTGAGAACATTTTTTATTATAACCCCTTTCGTGTTTTTTGAAAATTTCTTTTTTAGTTTTTGGGGGCTGGGAACCCGTGTCCCCGGGTTTTTTTTTCTCAAAAAAGTTTTCGAAAACAAAAAAAGAATATTTTTTTTACTTCCCTGGGTTTTTTTGTTTTTAAATTTTTTAAAAAAAATTCCCCAAGGATTAAAAGGCCTTTTAAAAAAAGAAACCCTTTTAAAATTCCCCTTTTGATAATTTTTAAAAAAATTCCCCAAAATGGTTTTTATTCGTTTTTGCAATCCCCCCCCATTAAACCCAAACTCGCAAAAAAGAAAAAAAAAATAGCCCGTTAATAGGGGTTTAAATTGGGTAAAAAGTACCCTTTTCCCCGGGGGGCGCTCCGCCTGGGCAAATTTTTTCCTTCCGGGCCCCAAAAACTTTTATTGTTTAAAAAAGAAATATAACCCGGGGCCCCCCTTTTAAATTAACTAATTTTTTAAATTTTCAAGGGGGTTTTCAACCCCATCAATAATACTGAAATTTTCCCTTTTCTTTTTTTTTTTATTTTTAAAAAATAAATTAATTTAAAAAAAATTGGGTAAAATATTTCATAACCTTTACTAATTCTAATATTTTAAAACAAATGTTATGGGAAATTTTTTAAAAATATTTTAATTTAAATTTATTTAAAATTTTATACAACCCGCTTTGTTTCCCAAACTTTTTTTGGGGCCTTTGCAAAACAGATATCCCAAAATTTGGGGTCCCTCCCAAATGGGTTTGGGGAACCCAAAATTTTTAAAAGAATTTCTTTAATCTTTTTTTTGGGTAGTAGAAAAATTTTTCCTAATGAAAAAATTTTTGTTTGATTTGGTTTGAAGTTTTGGGGGAAAATTTAAAGTGATTTGGGGTTTTGGGGTGGGAAAAGGGAAAGGAAAACCCAACCCCGTTTTGGAAAATCAAATAAATTTTAATTTTTTTCTTTAAAAAACAAAACCGTCCCTTTTTACCTCCCTTTTGGGTGCTGTTTTTCCATAATTTCGATTTTAAAAAAATAACAAAACTACCCTTTTTTTTATTTAACAGTTTTTAGGGGCACTTTAAAAACCCCCTTTTTTTTGTTTTTTTTTTTCCCTTTTTCAACCTTTTTTGGAAAAAGGGATTAAGATAAAAAACCTTTCCCCCCGCCCGGTTTAAACGTGGGGGAACCCGTGCCCAAACCTGGCTCCGTTTTGTAAAAAAGACCGGAAAAAGGGGCGAAGAGAAAAAAAAAGTAACAAAACCATCAATTCCCGAATTTCCCCCGCACCCCGGAAAAGTAACTCCCCCGCCAAAAGGGAAAATGAATTTTGGTTTTTTTTTTCGGGGGTTTTCCAAAACCCCTTTTTTCCCCTCCCCCAAAACAAAAAATGGCGCACCCCCCAACCCCCTGGAAAAACCCCGGGAATCGTGTGAAAGGATGAAAATATCACGTAAATTTTTGGGGTGTTTGGTGGGGAGGGTAAAACTGATCTGAAGGAAACGTGGTTTCCCCGCAAGAAATGCTGGAATTTGGCCCCGGGTTTGGAAAAGTCATGGGAAAAAATTGGGTGACCCGAATTTAAATTTCAAATCCCCGGGTAGCCCCATTTCCCCTCTTTAAAAAAATTTTTTAAATTTCAAATCAACCCTCCTCCAAATTTTTACACTCCCCCCCTCCTTTTTTTTCCTTTTGGGCCCCCCAGGAACCCCAGAAAATAAACCCCCGGGCCGAAAACCTTTCCCGGATAGAAAGGGGGTTTCAGATTTATTTTTTGGCCCCCCCAGTTTTTTTCTTCTGGGGGTTTGGGGAAAAGAAAAAGCAGGGGGGTTTAAAAACCCCTGTAACAACCCATGGATTTCACGATAACCGGTTACTGTCTGGGAAATGTCGGGCCCCCCAGCTTTAACCAAAACCCCCCTCACTTAAAAATCCCACCTTTTTAAAACCTTGGGTAAGGCCCCAAAAAATTTAAGAACACTGAGTCCCGGGGGGTTCGCCATAAATATGTCTCCCCGGAGTTAGTACTAACTTTGCATTGCTTCCAAAATGGCATGCCTGCATAGCGCTAGGTGTAAATGTAATGAAGGTACTGGAAGCACATGTCTCATGTGAAATTGTCAAAGCTTCCTGGATTGTCTTAACATTCTAGAATTAGCTTCTAATACTAATGTATTAAAGGTATGTACCTTTGTTTTATACTACTACTAAATTTGCCTCTTCATTAACTTCGTATGGTTGTATTTTATTTTATGTAAAAATAAAATCACATTCATCTGGACGATTTTTGTTATCAAAGTTGGTTAAACTTGGCCTGTCATTACGTTGTTTTCGCTCTTCACGGCAAATCTTTCTAACCTACCGATATACTTCGTATTATAAAGTTATAAGGCCGCTATATCGTGTAGTTTCAGATATTTTAACCTTGAGTGTTAAAGTGAATTATAATCGACCCCATTTTTAGGTTACAAAAGAAATGGGTCTTGTTCTCAAATTGACTCTATCCCGACTGCTGGTCAGTTTGCTTCTTGTTGTGGCGATAATTGTCATCATCATTCCAACCAACACCCTAACGGGTGGAGTTGTGAAAGAAACAGCATTTCTAGGAAATTTGACAGTAACAAATCTAGAAAAGGATTCTTTTCGAGTGGAGACAAGGGAAAACTCCAAAAATATCGGTATTAATACCAATATCAGTGGTTACATTTTCCACAACCACCGATTAAGATTATGGTATGAAGGTAGATGCATAGACTCTAGTGACGGAGAAAAGTTGACAGTACAGTTCTGTGATCCCGATATACAGCAGGTGAGGCTTGGTGACAGCTTATGTCTTTTTATAATAGTAATAATCGAACGTTATGTTGGCAAATTGTAGTATCATTCCCTGACTAATATCCTAGAACATCTGAAATGGATGAAGATTATAGATGTATTTATGTTGCTCCAAAATCAATAGTTCCCACAGTCAGACATATAACGAATGAGTTAAAAATTTCCAACAAAATCTTTATAACATCATTGGTAAAACATTTTCGGACATCTTCAGTACCTAATAAAGATAAGGGTTAATACTCCAATTAAATCAGAAAAAATATAACTAAAACTAAGGAATGTTAGGTAAATAAAAGTCAAACTCTCAAAAAAGGAAAAGAAAGCACTCGGGTATCGGGGGTTGTGAGGCCCCAACTAGTAGAAAAAATACTAGTCCCTGCATTAAAGTTGAAATAATTTAAGGACCATTATCAAAAGTTTTATTTTCAAATAAAAGTGGCATACCAAAAGGATCACATGAATTAATACCATACGGTTACAAAGTTCTGAGTTTTTGTATAAGTAGATTTTCGTTAACTTCTAAATTATTAGGACTAGAATTCTTTAGGATAAAAACATTATAAGAAGCATCAAAATCAGGTCTATTAGAAAGGTTATGTGAGTCTATAAGGTGAGCTGCTAAACTATAAGCGTCACTATCATCAGATACAAAATCTTCACTAAGTTTTAAGGAAGGGTCTTTCAATAGTTTATAATAGTTAGCTCTATTTATGTCGCTTTTGACGTTTTAATGAGTTAACTCTCAGGCGTTCAGTCTAACGATGGATAATCGTTTGATATACGAGAGAACTGGAAGATGTGTAAACTACAAAAGTCAAGACAATGTAATATATATGGAACTGGTAGATTGCTCTGATGTCACAGAATCCTTCCTTACAGAAGACAAAGATGGAATGTTCTACATACAGCGTATCGTAAAGAATGAAGAGCTTTGTATCACACCAATGTCAGGGAGGAACGATTTGAACGTTACAAGAAGTCCTTGTCTGGAGGATCCTGTTGGATTAACACGTTGTGATAAGGATGCTTCCAGAATACTACTGATGGAGGAAGGCTTCTTTCAAGAAGACAGGAAATTGTTAAAGATGGCTGTTGTACCTCAAAATAGTTCATGTGACTTTAAAGCGTGTGGGTTCAACAAAAGAGAGCCGGTGAAACTCCTGCCACCTCACCAGGTGGGAAGATGTACAAAGCTGTGGGAATGTGTGACACTTGCAGTAAAAACAACCAGAAGACCACATCTTATATTGCGTCTAGCTGAATCAGTGAGAGAAAGGCTGGGATTCGATCTCCCGATAGTTGCATACGACGACGGACCAAACGATTACCCTGATGAAATATATCAGCAAATTGCAGAGTATCCCTTATTACAGTACGTAGTGAGTAAAAATGAAGATCTTGGTATAGCTCGAGGGAGAAATTTGGCTGTTATGCAGGTCAAGACTAAGTACTTCTTTCTTCTTGATGATGACATCAAGTTCAATGAATACACAAAACTCGATAAACTTGTCGAAATCCTGGACACTACTGATGTCACTGTGGCCTCAGCTGCTTACTCAGGAGGAATCAGCTTTACTGCATACTTTGAATTTGGACATTTCAACGAGAACAAATCAAAACGTAGACTGGGAGTTTACCATAAAGCTTGCACACTTGTCAATCAAACAATTCCAAACCATCCAAGCTGTGTCAGATGCGATATTTCTTCAAACGCATTTCTGGCACGAACCACAGAGATATTGGATATAGGAGGATGGGACCCAGAGCTAATGATAGTGGAACACAAGGATATATTTATTAGACTGAAAGCAGCTGGCATGAAAGTTGCACTTTGCCCGGATGTGAAAGTAAAGCACGCTCGTCCGTCAAAGATATCAGTTAAAGGCGAGGACTACAAAGAAAAACGAAGACGAGGAGGACAAAGGTTTGATAAGTATGATTATTAAAAATATGATTCAAAAGATGAAATATGAAAGAAGTCCCTCAATGTAACTAACATAAACAATGACTTGTGACTTTAAGTTTACAGAAAGACTTCATGATAATACCACTAAATAAAAAATGTACGTAATAAACTTATCAAGGAAGATTTGTTCAAAGGTAAGATGACAGCCTTTCACATTGTTTACATCGATAATGAAAGTAACATTTTAAAAAAACGTACTAACTGTATACTATATCCAGGTTTAGAGCTCTTATGAACAACAGATGGAACATTCAGAACGTATTCGATAGACCGGCAAGCAATCGCTTGATGATTAACAACGATACAGGAGAGATAACGTTCATGGAGGAGAATGAACATGGATCATGTTAATGTATTTATAATCATCAAACAGTAACTACCTTAAAAGTTTTCAAACAAAAACTGTATCTTCGAGACCTGACTTTAAAATGTTCCAATATTTTTTTCGCAAAAAATTGTATGTATATTATAATCGGTAAGTCAGGACATAATCCTTACTTTGTAAATTAAGGGGGGGGGGGGGGGGGGGGGGGGGGGGGGGGTTCACCCTGATTTTTTTGTGAAACTTGCAGTTTCGAGATAGCAGTTGACCAACAAACGAGGCCCGGTGGCCAAACTTTTGAGGGGGTCCCGGACCCCAACCGCCAAACGGTGCCCGCGGCCCATATTTGGTCCAAATTAGACCCAATTTAGATTTTAGGTGCTCTACTTGTAGCTAGTGCCCCCCTGAACTAGTATATGAATTGTCATTAATATTAGAAACAAATTACTGAGTTATGAGCTAAAAACTATATACCCATATTTGTGCGTCTTTTCACGATGCACTAGATTCAAGTCAGTCTCAAAACATTGACTCTAGTTCGGAAGTAGCGGTTGCATCTGCTGGATCGAGCAGAGAGGGCAATATGCACTTTAGAGAAATAGATAGTAGAGGAATTACTCTTGCTGACATAAGTCGTGAGGAAGATTGCAGAGATCCGAGGAGAAAGTACGGACTCAGACCGAGAAAGAGTAAACCGAAGTACGATTATCACAGGTAGGTGAAATTTCGGGAATTTCGGGAATGACTAAATTAAAGTCATATAGACTGGAACGGTAATTTGCGTGATATATTTGATAATTTTGCACAATGGTATTTTGATTAAATATTTACAGTAAAATCACGGTATCAGGGATTTGAAGAGAATTGTAATGATAACCTATTTGCGTTGCCTAATTTTCGTTTTAACAGTCTTATTGTATTACTTGGTTTATAACCTGAGTGTTTATTCCTACCGTATTGATGAGATTAGCTACCTTATTGTAGTAGAAAATCTTTCAAAGTACGAAATATCTCTTTAAAAGAGCATCCTAGGCACCTTATAGATATCAAAACGCATAAAAAAGAAAACAAAACATCATCCATCTTTTAACTTCTTCCACTCCTCCCTATCTAAAGCTAAAAATCTAAGGTCTTCGAAATCAGTCAAATTCTTAAGTCTAATATCAGATTTTCTACTAGTCAAGTCTTTTCTAATAACATCTAATAAGTTTAAACATGGTCTACCCCGTCTCCCTTCCATAAAAATATCAGAATTTATTGCAAATAACATAGAGGTGTATGCTGGTGAATCTTCCTGAAGCTACCTTATTAGTAGTAATAATATTTGAAATTATTAACAAC